AATTCTACGGGAGATTATCTACCTGACCTTTGACACTAATCGCGTTTTGTCAAAGAAAACGGCACTTATTCAATTTTTTTTTCTTTTTTTTATTGAGGTTAAAATTACCCACACTTCCAGACTCGTAAATACTTTCTATGTCGCACAAGCGAGCACTGACCAGACAAAACAAAATTTTTTTTTTTTTTAAAACATTTTAATTAATCTCATTAACGTTTAAGATTTTTTTTTTTTTTTTTAACGGTGACGTGTAAGGTCGTAACAACAACAACAACAACAATCATAATTTTTTTTTTTAAAAATGGTTTTGCTTTGTTAAACATTCGGTTATAAGAATTTGTAATGCAAATTTTTTTTTTTTTTTTTTTGACTTCCTTTTATCGAATCATCATTAGCGCGACGAAACACGTTAACAAAAACAATTCAATCGATTTATTTATTTTTTTAAAAAACTGTCCGTCATATTATCAATCGTATTTTTTTTAAAACGTTTTAATTTGATTTTTCTTTTTTTTTTTGTTTTGTTTTCGCAGGAGCACTCGCGAGATCCCAATTTCCCGTATTCACAATTTATGCTCAAAAAAGTTGCCTCGGAGTGAAACCGTGCGAACGTGCTTGGTGTTTCGACCGTGTTTTAGGTCATCAACTTTACGGTTATACGAAAAAGAAGCACTCTGTCGGATCGAGACAAGAATGTTTGGAATTGTGCTTGGGCGAACGTGAATTTGTATGCAGGTAAGAAGTCATTCATTCGTAATTAATTAAATTTTTTAAACAAAAACGCGCACACACACACCACACAAGAAAAAAATCGAGTACGATTTATATATCATTACCCACGACGCGTCAATGATGATGCTTGTATGACCATAAAACGACGAATCAAAAAAAAAAGAGAGAGACTAAAATATACCTAAACCTTTTTTCTTTACTTTTCCATTTCCGGACATTTTTGTTTTTTTTTTTTTTTGGTCATTTCAATTTTGGGTTCATTTATATAAAATTTAGACACATATTTACGGTAATTTATTTTACCGTATTAGGTATTTTTATCGCGTGCGATTCGTGATTCATTTATAAACACGTAGCAGTGGTATTCGAAAATACAATTTTTCTCGTACACACACACACACACCCCTCCCCCCAAATCAAATTATCAAAACACGTGATATTTTTATACATATATACACACACGCACACTTATATCATTTTCCATATTAAATTACATAAAACGAAACAAAAACAAAAGAAAATAAATGAAAATAAATGAATCCCCCGTTTAATTTTCCAACAGATTTTGACAATCGAAAACAAAACAAACATCCATTTCCGGTCTTACAAAAAAATTCATTCGCAATCGATCAAATCGCAAAAAAAAAAAAAAATTGTTTTCAATTCTTCCAGTTTTAAGAAAAATAATAATAAATAATAATTGAATTCATCGGGCATTTAAACGTGCAATAACAACCACAACAACAAAAACAACAATAAAATTTAAATAAAAATATTTAAAAAAATAAAATAACCGGTCGTTGACCGATAAGGTCATAACCCAACGATACACACACATACACACACGCACACGCACACGCACACACACAATGAAAAGTAACAAAAAAAAAAAAAAGAAATTTTTTTTTTAGGTTTCAAACCTACAAAAAGTAAAAGAAAAATTATTAATAATAATAATATGATGTCAAATAAATTATTAAAATTTATTTTAACATTTAAAATTTATCCGTTAAAACGTTTTAAGCGACGCAAAATGTAATTTTACATTTTCGAAAAAAATTTTTTTTGCCAATGATCAAAATGAATCAATCCGTGAGAAATAAATAATAAAAAAAAAAATTACTCGAGTGTCCAAATACGAATTTTATTATATAAAAAATCTCTCTCTCTCTCTTCTGTGCGCGCCATTTTTATAATTTGTCACCAAAAAAAAAATTATTCTCGAATCACGTTTCGAGCATTTAAAAATTGTATGGGAAAAAGAAAAATTTAATGCATTATTTTCGTACTAAATCTCAACCCATTCATTATTAACCCCATTATTCGTTTTTAAAAACCTTTAAAGTAATTTTGTTTGTTGTTGTTGTTGGAAAATTCGCGCCTACGTCTAATATACAAACTTCCTCTTGTTTGTTGTTTGAAAATTATTTTCGCTACTAAATGCCGCGATTTGCACGTCAAAAATAATTTAAAACATTTTTTTTTTTACTTCGTATCGATCGATCGATTAATCGTTTACCCGAACATAAAACAAAAATTTTTTTTATCGATCTGATAAACAAAGTTTGTAAAATCATATCGATCGATCGATCGTTCGATAAATCGTTCTCACAAACTTTATTATTACTTTTAAAATTATTTTAAAATCACTCGTATTAAACGGAAAAAAAAACGACAATCTAACGCCGCCATTTTTTTTTTTTTTTTAAAAACAAATCGCGTAAAAGGCGCGTATAATTACAAAGCTAAAAAAAAAAATTAAAATAATAATAATAAATAATAATAATAATAAAGATAATCTAATTCATTTCGGTTCGGTTTTACATTCTAGACTTTTATTATTAAAAAGTTAAATTTTTTTTTTTTTTTTTTTTTTTTTGCCGGGACGCCATTTAAAAATTCCGAAAATTTTTTTTTTTCTTTTTTTTTTTTTTTTTCATTAATTTTATTACCCCTTAAAAATTATAATAGTTAATTATTACCGTTCGGTTGTTGGATTATTCTAGAAAAAAATTATTTTTGTGTTTTATTTTTAGAGACCCCCTCGAATTACATTCGACTTTATAACGGTGTCCATGTCATGGTCGCGTGAGATAATGAGGCTTTTTAATTAATGAAAATGAAAAAAAAAAAAAAAAAAAAAAAAGAAATAATAATAATAATGAAATAAAATAAAAAATTTAACCATTTAAAAAAAAAAAAAATTCATGCAATAATTTTCCGGCACGATATGACATTTTTTTTTTTTTCTTTTTTTTTAACCATCGATTTCCGGCGGGAAACAATTTTTTTTTTTTTTAAAACTTTTTTTTTAGGTTAAAAACAATTTCGGGACAATTTTTTTTTTTTCCCTAACACTAGAGGACAATAATTAAAGAAAGTTATTTTAAACAGTAAATTAAAAAAAAAAAAAAAAAAAAAAAAAAAAAAAAGAATTCCGATTTTGGTTACAAACCACTTTAAGTGAATGAGTAGTCAAAACACACACACACAAACACACGCACACGTACGCACACAAACACAACAACAACAACAAACAAAAATTTTTTCTTTCACAATTTATTATTATTTAAGGGAAAAATTAAAAATAATTATTAACTCTATTATTATCATCATCATCATTTTTAAAACCGTAACGAACTACTTTTTTTTTTTTTTAACATAATATTTGTCTATATGTCGTAACGTATTTTCTAACGTGTAACTAGAAAAGTTAAAAAAAAAAAAAAAAAATTTTTTTGTGAATTGTAGAAAAAATCGTTTGAAAAATCGTTTCGTAATGTAAATAAACTTTTTTCTTTCTACCACGATAAAATTCCAATTATTATTATTATTACCATTAATTTTTTATAGTTTTTTATTATTATTATTAAATTGCTAGCCACGTTGACCAAAGGTTAATTTAAACTCTTATTAAACATTTCATAACAAATTAGTAACCCGCTGAGTCGTTGAAACGTGCAAAAGAAAAATTTTTTTTTTTTCTTCAACACACTCTCTCTCTCTCTCTTCCCCATTCTTTCCCTCCCCTCCCCTTGTATAACTCGAGTTTTTTTTTTTTTTTCGAATGAAAATCGTATAATATACAAACACAATTTGTACACAATTAATAATAATTATTTCAACGAATCGTAAAAGTCGCAAAACAATAAATATTATTTTAATCCCACGATAGAAACCTCAGCGGGTAGGAATGAAAAAAGGCGTGAAAGTTTAAATTTTTCTTTCCACCACGTGCACACCACGTATTAATCAAAACAAAGAGTAAATTGGAAAAAAACAACAACAACAACAAAGTTTGCAAGTGGGGGGGGGGAGTCCCTTACAAAAAAAAAAAAATTAATCACAATTTACACACCATCGTCATCCATCCATCCATGGATTTCCTTTCAAAAAAAAAAAAAAAAAATCGTCAGAAAATATTTGAAAAAAAAAAAAACGATGACGTGTTTCAAACGACGACGACGACGACGATCATTATTATGAGTTTTAAAAACAACAACAACAACATATTTAAGATGTTTCAAATAAGGTATAATATTAAATCTCTTTCATCATTCCACCGATTCTTCACTTTTTTAAAACATTCAAAACAAACGTCAGAGTCATTATCGACTATGTGTTTACAACAACAACAACAACCCCGTGATTTAACAACAAGAAACAAATAAAAAAAAAAATACTAATTATTTTTAATTTTTTGTTTTAAAACTTCATAGTTTTGAAAATAAAATAAATATATTCAAGTCATGATTTGTATTAAAAAAAAAAAAAAAAAGTATTACGCAACAAAAAAAAAAAAAAAAAAAAACGAACCGTGAAAAATCCCTTAAAGGAAAAATTAAAATTAAACATTTTCATATAATTAAACATCGTTTAACCGAAGAGTGAGAGAGAGAGAGAGAGAGAGAGAAAGAAGAAAATTAACCATTAACACGTTTAAAAACACACGGGTTGTTGTTGTTGTTATTCGAGTAAAAAAAAAAAAAAAGAGTTAAAACCCATTCACTAACTGTCAAAAAATCTAAACTTTAAATTTACTCTTAGGCAACAAACAACAAACAAACAACAAACAACAAAACATTTTAATTGAATTATTTAAAACGTTCAGGATATTAGATGCATTTTTGACAAGTGACTACAACACCACTTTTCGGAAAACTGTCGACAAATAACCGTTCGGCCACATTCTAATTTCTTTTTCTTTTTTTCGAGGAGGGGAGAGGGGTGTGTGTGTGTGTGGGGAGGAAGTAAGGAAGATGTGGTCATCGTTTTGAAAAAAAAAAAAAAAAAAAAATTACACCTGCATCGTGTCCGTGTCCGCTACATTTTTTACTTTATATGGGAATTAAAAAAAAATAAAAATCAATTTTCTGCCAATAAACTCGATTAGAAAAAATACGACGTCGGTAATTTTGTGTGTTTCGCTAAATTATGAGCCATAAAAATAAATTTTTAATAAATAAAAAAATATTTTTATTAAACTATTTAAAATTTAACACCTGAACGCACACGCACACGTACACACATCTGTTTATCTTTCCGTTTATGTTTTTTTTTTTTCCTTTTTTAGTACTCGATTCCAAAATAAATAAATAAATAAATAAAAATCTATGTGAAAATATTTTATTATTAACGCGACACTTTTATTTATTTATTCGATTTATTATTGATTTTTTAAACGTTTTAAAATTTTAAATAAAAATAAATTTTTTTTTATTTATTTTGCAAAAAAATTTTTTAATAAAAAAAAAAAAAAAACAAAACGAACAAAGTAATTATTGTTAAATATCCTTTCGCGTGCCTGATAATAAAAATGAAGGAAAATTCGTGTGTGTGTGTGTGTGTGTGTGTGTTATGCATGCATGAAAATCCGTTTCGTGTGTCATACTATCGAATGCCAGAAAAAAAAAAAAAACTCATCTTCTCATCAACATCCTAAAGGATCAAATCCCAATATTAAAATCATTTATTCGATTACTTCATTATTTCATACCGAGAAAAACCGTTGATCAAACACCAAAAATTTTGCATTGATGAATTTTCCCTCTTTTAAATATCATCCCGCTCCCCCCCCCCAAAAAAAAAAAAAAACGCGGGAAAATGATGCATCCCTCCCCATTTCCCTCTCTCCCTCCCCTTCCACCTCAAATCCACGAAACGAATTTTTCAAAAACCAGTTTCTTCTCGATATTTCCGACGATTCAAATCAAAGAAAAAAAAAAAAAAGACATCAAATTTTAATTTACCGATGGGAAAAACAAAAAATCTTAATGATTTTTTTTTTTAACGACCCCCAAAAATTTTAAAAATACTCAAAACGTCGTAAATCAAAAAAAAGTCAAAAAATTTTCATTTTTGAATATGAAACGAAAAACGTAAATGAAGGCCACCCAAAGAGTCATGCTTGTCTTTCTTGCTACCGGTTTTGAGTTTTAAAAAAAAAAAAAAAAATTTTTTTTTTCAAATCATTTAAACAAGTTGTAGTACCAGAAGCATAATAAATTGCAATAAAAAAAAAAAAAAATAAAACTACTTGATTGCTCTCAATTATCCTGCCATTCGCGCGCGAGCATGTGTGTGCATGTGCGTGCGTGCGTGTGTGTGCGTGTGCGCGAGCAAACGAACGTTTCGATCCGTATATGCAAAAAATGTAAAATGACTTCTCATTTAAATCCTGTACAAATTTTCCTTTTAATTTTTACTTTAGCTCTATACGCCGTATTCTTCCCCCTGCCCCCCCCCCCATTTTAATTACCACCGATAATGATTATTACATGGCCCCCACGTTTATTTAACTATAATTTCACGATTATTAATAATGATAATTTAATTTAAACAAGTATGAAATGATTTTCTTTTTTTTTTTTTTTCGATGTTGTATTAAAAATTTCAATTTATACCACGTGACCCATTTAATAAAAAAAATTTTTAACGCGAGTTAGTTACGTTTCGTGTAACAATTAACCTAAAAGTTTATAAAAATAAAATAATAATAATAATAATAATAATAATAATAAAAACTTAAATTAATTTGACCTGGAATTTTGGCAATTTTTTTTTCTTTTTTTTTTTTATGCGAAGCGATTTGATCAACCGAGTGACCTTTTTTTTATAACTTGAACCGTTTTTGAAAGTAAAAGTTATCATTATTATTATTATTATTATTCATATTTGTTACCGGAAAAAAAAATTTTATTATTATTATTTTTTTTTCCACGTTTTTCTCAACCTGTTGCACGAGAAAATAAAAACCAATGAATGAACGAGCGAATGAATGAAAATAATTTTAGTGTCGTGGCGGGAGAAAAAAAAAACAATAATTATTATTATCATTATTATTATTAATTTCAGATCGGCTAATTACAACAATGCCACCGGAGACTGCGATTTATCGGATATGGACAGATTAACCGTGGCTGGATTGGGAGCGTTTCAACCCATGGAAGATTCGGATTATTTGGAAAACAATTGCGTCGAAGAACCTGGAAAACTTTGCGAATTCAAAAAAATATCTGCAAGAATTTTAAAAACCGTCGATTCCGTTTACCAAGACGTAAGTCACGATGATGATAATGATAATAATTACACTCCTTTTCATTAAAAAAATAACCGACCCCTATAATGGCTACCTAATCATTTCTTAAAAATTTTTTTTTGTTCCCCGTTTTGAGAATAAATCAAAATGAAAAAATAATAAATAATAATAATAATAATAATAATGCTAAATTCTTTTTAAATCATTAAAAAATTACTAAAGCAAAAAACAATTGTTACGAATTTTAATTTTTTTTTTTTTTTGACAGTGGTTGGTAGTAGTGGTTAATGATAATTTCATTTTAGGGTCGAATTACAACGGTACATGCACACTTAATGCCAAGTATCACTGTTACTTATAGGCCTTCTTCGGCCTTAAGCTACGTAAAAAAAAAAAAAAAAAAAAAAAAAATTCGGACGGAAATAATAATAATAATAATAATAATAATGACGTTCGCGTGAACTAACGGCCAAACTATCACACTTCTTTTTTTTTTTTTTTCAACTATAAAATTATTATTCTTAAATTTACACGAGAAATTTTAAGTTTCGACAAATTTACACTTAATAAGAGGTGAAACAAAGGTTTATTATTATTATTATTACTACCATTAGTAAATTCCTTCTCAATTTTTAAGTATTATTCAAAATAATAATAATAATAATAATTAATTGAAATTTTTTTTTTTTTTTTTACCGCCTGTGTCCGAAATCTACAGCAGTTAATTCGAAATTACGAAACTGGCTCCAGATTAAAAATCATCTTCAAAATCTTTATAACCCTATAACCTCGGGCATTTAGATCTAAAAAAGATTTTTTCTTTTTTTTTTTTTTTTTTTTGAAAATAACAGGTTTCATCTTTGGAAGAATGCCGTGAACTTTGCTTAAATTCTCCGTATAGATGCAGGTCCTACGATTTCGGAGATACCGGCGAGCAAGTTTGCCGTCTGAGTCACCATAGTCGAGCTACTTTAGCCGACATTCAAGATCCTTATTTAGATGTTCCAGAAGCTGCTTCTTACGAGCTCAGTTCGTGCTATAATGTAAGCATCGAATGCAGATCTGGCGATATGGTCGCACGCATCAAAACAAGCAAACTCTTCAGCGGAAAAATGTACGCCAAAGGAAGTCCGAATTCGTGCGTTGAAGACGTCAAAGGCTCGTTGGAATTTTCATTGAGAATGGCGTACGATGACGTCGAATGCAACGTCAGACAACAAGGACTTGGAAAATACAATAACGACATTGTCATACAGCATCACGACACGATTGTGACGAGTTCGGATTTGGGTTTGGCCGTTTCCTGTCAATACGATTTGACTAATAAAAGTGTTAGCAACGAAGTCGATTTGGGTGTACGAGGTGAAGTCAAACCCGCACTCTCCGAAGAAGTTGTCGTCGATTCGCCCAACGTCGCCATGAGAATCACCGATAGACGAGGAGAAGATCCCAAACCATCGGCTGCAGTCGGTGATCCACTCGCTCTTCGATTTGAAATCCTCGACAAGAACTCACCCTACGAAATATTTGTGCGAGATTTGGTGGCCATGGACGGAGCCGATTCCAGTGAAATTGTTTTAATTGACTCTGAAGGGTGTCCAACTGATCACTTTATCATGGGTCCGTTATTTAAAAGTTTGGATTCCGGAAAGGTAATTATTTACGACTCAAATTACCCGGTTTTTTTTTTTTTTTTTTATTAAAGAACGGGCAATTTTACAAAAAAAAATTACTTTTTAATCTTTCAGAATTTACTATCTCATTTCGATGCATTCAAATTTCCTTCTTCTGAAGTTGTTCAATTCCGTGCCTTAGTAACACCATGCGTGCCAACTTGTGAACCAGCTCAATGCAATTCCGAAGATAGCTCTGGTAAGTTTTTCATCAATTTTGTAACTTCTTTTTCCCAATGTTATGATCATTATTATGTTTTTTTCTTCTTTCTCCTTTAGGTGAGCTTCGATCTGTTATTTCGTTCGGCAGAAAACGTAGAAGTACTGAAACATCGCGCAGAAGACGTTCCACGACCAGGGAAGACATGTTATTGGTTCAATCCATACATATCAGTGATAAATTTGGATTCCCAGCAGCTTCGAGGAACAATTCCGAAAGTGAAACGGTTTTCATACAATCAGAAGGAAACGTAACTTCTTGCATGAACGTCGCATATTTAGCGGTTGCAGGTACTTGAAATCACACCTTTCGTTTTTTTTTTTTTTTTTTAATGCGCGAAAAGGTAAAACATTAAAATTAATTTTTACAGGTGCAATATTTTTGGTGGCTCAGTTGGCAGTTGTAGCCGCATTGGCGTTAGCTTGGCAGAAAAGGAAAAGAGGACTTAAAGATGATGTTTCCGTGAGCATATCGAACGGCATCGTAAACGTAGCGAGAACGGACAGCTTGTGTAAATTATACGAATCTGGTTATGCAAGACGATTTTGAATCAAGGCTCATTATTACTTCTAACTAAGAACTTTTAGTCAACTACGATTTTAAAGGGGGGGGGGGAAGGGAAAAGGATAATTTTTAACGCAAACGCAACAAACAACATCAGACGGTCTAGTCAAAATTTTCAAATTTTAACGAAACACCGGAAACAATTTTTTTTTTTTATACAAATTCTACAAACGTAAAGACTGACGAAAATAACCGATTCGAATCCAACGATTAATTAATAATAAAACCAAATTTTTTTTTTTTGGAAAATTTCACGTGATTTGACAAAAACAAAGCAAAACAAAGGCTAATTGTTTTTTAATGATAATAATCAATCAATGAAAATCAACATCGTCACGCGCGTCGCGAACAATAATTTTTTTTTTTTTTTTTTTTTTCAAAGCTTTTATAAAATCGAATTTGATAATTAGTTCTTAGATTTTAAATAATAATTTCAAACATGTCCCCAAAATGTCCCCACACAAAAAAAAAAAACAAAAGAAACAAAAAAAATTTTTTTGTATCAAAATGCTTGTTAAAATTAAGTAAAATTTGCATGAATTTTTTTTTTTTTTTTTTTGAAGCGAAACAAATTTTTTAAACGTATCCATTAAATTATTTATCGTAATTACTTTTTTTTTTGTTTTAATTATTCTCAATTATTTATTTTTTAAGTTTAAAAAAAAAAAAATGGAATGTAGCATTGCAAATTATTTAATTCATAAAAATTAATTAATGAAAGGTGAAAATTGTTAGGTTAAAATATTTTAAACTTTTTATATATGTAATTACATATACCTGAGATAAGGATGACCTAAATCGCTAAAGAGAGACTTTGTATTTTGAATTTGTTATAATATTTAAACAAATAATTAAATAAATAAATAACAAAGAATCAAAATTAAAAGTCTCTTGAAATTCTTTTTTTTTTTTTTTTAATCATTGTTTTCATTAAATTTTGTTTTTTTCTCTTTCTCTCTCTCTCACTTATTAAAAAGCCATTTTTAATAGCTTGTCCTTGTCTCAGAAAGAACAATTTTAAGATGAATATCTTAAATTATTATTATTATTATAAATGAACTTCCCGCGGGGGGTTTTAAAATTTTTTTTTTTTGGTTGGTTGGTTGTTTTCTTTTTTTTTTTTTTTTTAAAAGTAAAACTCAACGAAAAACTTCAAATAATACTTTTTAAATAAGTTATATAGTATCATTAAGACTTTAAATTATTCAGTGATTTTTTTTTTTTTTTCAGTTAATTTTAAAACATTATAAATTTAAAAAAAAAAAAAAAAAAAAATTGTGTTTTAAAATATTTACTGAAAATATATACGAAAATTTTGAATAAAAATTAAAAAGTTTTTTTTTTTTCCCGCCTTTCATTTTAATCATGCACCGAAAATATTTTTAAACGTGGCAAGTTATTTTTAATTACCATTTTTTAAGTGCAAATATTTAAAATCTATTGTAAAAAAAAAAAAATAGTTAAAAAAAACTCACCCTTAATCGCTGATCAGCTACAGTCCATACCCTGCTGGCGAAATCATTAGAAGCTGCTAAAATTAATGTTCCTGTCGAATCAAAATCGACAGACATGACTCCTGCATTACTACCAATTAATATTCCTTTATTTTCACACATTCCAACTGAAAAAATAAAATATTGCAATTATAAGATAAAAAATTCTTTTAAAGATAAACTTATTATTAATGATAATTTTAAATGTTTAATAATTAAACAAGGTCACTAAAATGCTAAACAATGAAAAACAAAATATGTTTTATGTTTGTTTTACCTTTCGATACATCCCATAATTTGACTTTTCTATCAGCACCTCCTGTCGCTACTAATCTATCAACAGGAGACCATCTGACTGCATTCACTTCGCCATCATGAACATCGACATGTACATAAGGTGAAGTTGGAACAGCTGTGACAGTCATTGGCATGACAAAGGCTACTTCAGGGGAGACTCCTCTGTTTGATTCTTTCACAGCTTCTTCTAATTCTTTTAACATAACAGCTTGTTTTTTTTTCATAAAATTTTCATTTTCTTCATTTAATTTATCAGCATCTTTTGATTTATATTTCATTAGCCTATCGACAAGTCTTTGATTTTCACTTTGAACTTGTCTTAATTTTTCTTCAAGTGATGAAAAAGCTAATTGTAAGGCTGTATGTTCATCTCTAATTGTTTGATTCAGGACATCTAATTCTTTTATATGATTTACATAAAGTGAAACTTCTACTTTGAGACTCTTGATTATTTCATCCTGATTAGCTATTTTAGCATCCCGTTCGGCTATTGTTTTTTTACAAAGTTGAACTTCTGTATTGAGATCTACTATTTGTTGGGCATATTCACCTCTTCTCTTGTGTAAAGATGTCAACTCTTCTTGCTGATGAAGAATTTTTTGTTCAAGTGATTGTATTTTATCCAGATTTGCACCGCTGCCACCTCCACCACCTTCTCTAAATTCCTTTCTAAGTTTTTCATTTTTGATAGTGAGCTGAAGATTTTCATCTCTTAAAATAGTACAGTCTTCAATCAATTTGTTATCTACAAAAAAAATTCAAAATAAAATTCTTTACATTGCCGTTATAATAATAATAATAATAATTACATACTTTACCCGTGTCAAATGTTATACTGACATTAAATATTTGACGTTACACAAAATTTTATAAAATTCATATGTTACTTTTATAGAAAAATTCCAATTTGTAAATTATAATTAAAAATAATTATTAATTACAAAGTATTTTAAATAATTAGGCAAAAAATTATTGAGTATCACAAAAATTTTTTTTGTAAGATAAGATCGGGGAAAAAAATTTGGAGGGAAAGTTTTACATTAATTACTATGGATGTAATTTTCGACCTCAAATGAGACCTTGAAAAAATTAACCTTAGGCAAATTAATATAATATTTAAACAAATAAAATTTTATATTTTATACTTACTGTAGAATATTAAATCAGCAAAATAATTAATTTCATTTCGATTTCGTTTTCGAATTTCTTCAATAATAAATAATTTCCAGTTACTAGATTCTCTGTCAACCATGCTTATTGTTTGTTTTCATAAAACTCACAGCCTTTTAGAATCACTTATTAATTAAAATATTTTAATAATTTTTAACACGGTTTGATTTTAATTAGTTTTACTTTTTTTTTTTTTTAATTTTTGAAAAAAATAAACGCATTTAATAAATGTTATAAATTTATTTTAATCGAGTTTTGTATAATATCTTAACAGGAAATCATTTTCTCCTACTTTTTATCATTTATAAAATTTTAATTTTTTATGTGTTGCAAATACCTGTTGATGATAAATAGGCATGAAGGAAATGATTACATAACTATCGCCTAATAAAATTTTTGAGTTACATTTAAAAAAGATTTTTTGGAATGATAAAAACCATTGATTTGAAAAGTTTTTTCATTTAATTTCTTGTTTAAAAAAAATGGATGCTTATGATGTTGTCGTTGTTGGCTCTTGTATGATTGATTTGATATGGTAATTTTTTTGAACTCTGTTGAAAATTTAAATTTATTTAAAAATCATTTATTTTATTCACTTTATTGCGTATGTTTAAGAAAATTTGCTTATAAAACTTATATTCCAGTAATTAATTTGTAAAAATTTATTTATATAATATAAGTTATCAAAATTCAACTTTTGAAAAATCTAAATAATTTATTTATTATGTGTAGCTACGCACCGAGGTTACCAAGAAATGGTGAAACTCTATATGGTACTAATTTTGTAATGGGATTCGGTGGAAAAGGGTGCAATCAATGTGTTTCAGCTAAAAAATTGGGAGCCAATGCTACGATTATTGCCAGGGTAAAAATATTATTTTTTTTCTAATATTTAAATATTCAATCTTTTTTTAAATCTTTTTATTTTCTCTTAGTAATTAATAATTACATAAAATCAGTTAGGAAATGATTCATTCGGACAAAATTACTTCAATAAGCTTAAGGAGTATGAGATTTCGACAAAATACATCTCGATAACTGATGGCACACCATCTGGAATGGCACAAATCACAGTTTCAGAATCAGGTTTTTGTTTTAACTTTTCTTTTTTTTTTTTTTTTTTGATAAATAATTTTATATTTTTACAAAACAAATATTTTGTTTTTATTTATAATTATAAAATAATAATAAAAAGATGAATTTCTTAGGTGAAAATCATATTATCATAGTTCCTGGAGCAAATAAACAATTAAATGAGTCAGATGTATTGAAAGCTACTGAAGTAATTGAAACTTGTAAAGTTTTAATGTGTCAGTTGGAAGTGTCCGAAAATGCTACACTTAAGGCCTTACAAGTCAAGTCAAACAGTAAAAAAGGTAATAAAATTGTTTGCATTGAAAATTTGTGTTTTAAAATCATTTTATAAAGTTTTTAAAACTTTTTTTTTTTTTTATAAATTTAATTTATTTTTATTAGGAATATCAATTTTAAATGCTTCTCCTGCTAACATAAAAATGAATCCACTATTATTTACACTACCAGATATATTTTGCGTTAACGAAACTGAAGCTGAAATATATACAAATGTGAAAATAAATGAACAACAACATGCTGTCGATGCGATTAAAATTTTATTGCTCAAAGGATGTAAAAAAGTTATTATAACTTTAGGAGAAAAAGGTTCAGTTTATGGAGAGAAAGGAAATTCAAATTTCATTTGTGTTCCAGTTTTGAAAGTGAATGCCATTGATACAACTGTTTGTATTCTTATTATAAAAAATGAAAAAAAATTATAAAATTTTTCATGATTTCAAATATTATCCTTTATTTACAGGGAGCAGGTGATGCTTTTTTAGGTGCATTATCATATTTTTTATCAAAACATTCAAAACTGGACATGGAAGAAATGATTAAAAGAGCCAACAACATTGCTGCATTGTCCGTTCAAAAATTAGGAACCCAAGAAAGCTTCCCTATATATTACGAGGTACCCAAACATTTACTTACCTAAAAAAAATTTTCCATTTGTAGTTTCATTTTAAACGGAAAATAATTTTTGAAATTAATGTAAACCTAATAAATTAATTAAGGTTATCTACATTAATAAAATAGTGTTATTAGTTATTTTAATTTTTTATTATAAATATTTATATACATTTTTTATTTTAAAAAATATGTATTAAGCGATAAAATAAAAATTTTGATATTTACAAAACAAAAAAAAAATTTTAATTTAATTTTAAAACCTACTCATAAATAAATAATTTATAAAATTTTGATTTTTATGTGTACCAATTATTTTAATAACTGATAAATTACATAATATTAACGGTCACATTAATAAATTTGTTTATGCATAACTTTGGTCTAAGTTTAAAATTTTTTTGTTTATTTCATTATAATTTGACAACTGCATTACTTGAATTTCTTTCTCAATATATTTAAGGTTTATTTGGAAATGATAATTAAGCCTGAATGTTAACGAATGTTTTTAATAAGTTATGCAAAAAAAATTTAAATTTTTTTCTATAAATCCTTTTCGAATAAAATGTATCTTTCCAAAATAATCTATTTCCTCTTCATTTTACTATTTTGCTATTTTTAAAAGATTTTTAACTCATTAATTTACTTATAACCTGTATTACTGTCAACAAAGGTTTTTTTTTTTTTTTTTTAAAAGAACTTATTTGGAAATCATCGAGCAGAGAGAAAAAAAGCATTCCTTAAAAATTTAAGTTTGCTGTTAAAAATTAAAATTATTATTAATCTTAATTAATATTAGTTTTAAATAAATGTTACTGATATTTGAATTTTAATTATTGTTTATTTTATTGTAATTTATCGAAAGCAAATTATTTTTTTTTTCTTAAACATGTGAATTATTCTGAGAGGTAATTAAGAAAATTTCCATTTTTCGATACATCAACAATTTTTTTATCTTCTTTATTTTTATTATTTTGTTTATTACTAACAATTTCTTGTTGCATTCTTAAATAATCATCTTCGAGTTTTTTAATATGTCCAATTTGAATTTTAATTTCTCTTTGAGCAGATTCAAGTCTTTCGCATAAAGCTGTACACATGTATTCTGCACCAGCTAGAAAAGCTGCTTCAGTGGTAGAAGTCACAACTTTTTCCACAGAGCTCATATATGAATTAAGTTCGTTAACTGCAGCTTTGGCTTTGTTTACTTTAGCTCTAGTTTCTACAATAGCATCCCAAAGTAAAGGATTGTCTCCTGCAACAAATGATAAGTTCAAATTTATTTTACGATTATTCCAAAAATTATGATAAGTATTTTGATTTCTTTTGAATGTTTTTAAAATACCATCGAATGCTTGTACTTCTTCCAAGAGGGAAAGCATTTGGTTTAAAGATTCCTTATAGGAATTACAAATATCTATTAAAGCTGAGGCCGTGGTGGTCAATAATGTAGAAGCTGAATTTACTGACAAAAGACATGCTTGTTTGATACAGTGCTCATGAGATAAGTTATTTACTTTTGACTGAGACGAATTAATTTCTTCTTCACATTTTGCTAACGATAAAAAAATGGAGGAAAATCCTAAAACTTTTCTAGCGAAATGAGTAGTTTGCACGGGCCTAACCTGATTTAAAAAAAAAAACAAATGGTTATTTTTGTTTTAATTAAATATTTAAACTACAAAATAATTTTTTTAATTCTTACAAAGAGTTTAGAAATATTTATATTGGGAAATTTAAAAATCAAACGACGGAGAGTAAAAGTCATTTTTAAATTTTGAATACGAAAATCATAATTTTAATAAATTTAACGTGGCGCTAGATTTACTAACCAATATGATTTCTATATTAGTTGTTGATTCAAGAAAAATATTTTTAAAAAAAAATTTTTAATAATTTATTATTAACAATTATACTACATTTAATGATTTCTTTATTTTATTCAATAGGAGTAGGTTTTAATACAACTCCAGATGGTGGTTCTTCTAATTCATTAATTCCTTCAAGTCCCTCTGCTTTAGCTTTGTTCCAAGCAAAATAAGTAATTGATTTAAAAGTTCTCGGTTCCCAAATTGCTAAATCAACTAAAATTTTTTTATTTAGAAGTATGTTGGAACGAATTAAACTTTCTTTTAAATAAGGATATGGCAATCCATGCTCTTCACAAGCTGCATTTAATCTGGTTTGAATTAACTAAAAATACAAAAAATGTCACATGAAAAAATTAATTGCAAGTTTTTAAAATACAACAGGTGAATTCTAATAAGTATTTTAACACTGGCAAATAAAATAAAAAAAATTTACCTCTTTTCGAACTTCATTTTTAACATTCCTAGATTTGCAGGAATTGGTTAAAGCTCTGATAACTCGTCTAATAGCAATGGAATAACAATTTTGGTGTCTGCCGACAAAATGCTAAAAAAAAAAAATACACACTTGAGTTAAAACTTTTATTTGCTTTACATATACATATCAAATAATAACCCACCGCAGCAAACTTTAATATTTTTCGCTTTCTCCAAAATCTATCAGTACCTGCAAAAGGCTTAACATGTAATATTTTTTGAAATAAACAAGGTGTTTGAAAAACCATTTTCTATCAAGATTTATAACCTGAATTTTTTTAAATTTTTAATTTCGTGGCATTAGTGTGAGGGCGGCCAGCTTTTAAAACAACTGTGTTTAATACAATTTAAATCTAAAGTCGTTAAATTATTTTTAATACAACGTTAGTTATTATTTTAAAAAATGCAAACCAGTTCAATATCTCAGGTATAATTATAAATTCTTCTTTTATTTATTTGTAAATTAAAAAAAAAGCATTAATAGAGTAAAAAAAATTTTTTTTTTATTTTTGTGTAAAAGCTAAAAAATTTACTTTTAAAAATTACCCTTCAAACTATGATTAATATATTCCAAAAAAATTGAAAAAAATATTAAATAAGCGTTTTTCAAAATATTTTTATTTTTTTTTTACAGGGCTCTTTTATTTTTACTCCTAAAAATTTTGATTTGTCCAAAACACGAAAAAAAAGGAAAAGATCTTCCAGCAAAGAAACTAAAGATAATTGGGAAGAGGCTTTTGATAATGTATGGAATACCGTTTATAAAGAAATAAAAGTAAGTAAAATTAACTATTGTCTCAATCATTTAAAAAAAAAGTTAAAAAAAATAATAGTAATCACACATTGTTTCATAAAAAATGTTAAAACCCTTTGGAAATTATCTGTTTAGATAATTATTTTTAATTTTTACATTTTAGGAAGTTAACGAAAGCTTATTTAAAAATATTTTAGAGGATATTATAAAGCATATTAAAAATATTGATAGTAAAAATGAAAACGATAAACTTGAACATGGAATACTACCATGTGAAATATTAATTACAGGAACTAATTTGCCTGATCACAACCTATTAGTTTCTGCTTTGTGTGACGATATGAAAAAAGTCACACCATATATATCAGTATTGTGGTCAGTAAATTGTGGAAACATTAAAAATACTATCTCTACATTAGCTCAACAAATAATTTCAACAGATACTATAAAAAAACATGATATAAATGTAAATTATTATCAATAACAAAGTTTTGAAACAATAAGTTTTTTTGCATTTAAAATTGTTTTGAATTTTAAATTATGGCTTTTAACTTAAAATATTTCAATTATTTAGAATTGTGAAGCAGAAGATGAAAATCTAAATGATGATAAAAATGATGGGTCTGAAATATCTTTACAAAGTTCGCAATATAATTTGTCTACTCTTACTGCTTGGTATGTGTACCAATCGAAAAATTTAAAATCCAATCCTCCAGTAGTTATATTTTTACCAGATTTTGAAAGTTTTTCATCAAAAGTGCTCTCTGAATTTATTCCATTATTAAGGTATAAATTTTGCTGAAAGTAAAAAAAAAAAGTTTAATATGTTTGATTTTCGAATCATTCGTTATTTATTTCTTTTTAGCTCGTATTCGAGTCAGACTCCATTTATTTTAATTTTCGGTGTTGCTACCACTCCAGGAGCTGTCTATCAGTCTCTCAATCACAGTGTTTTATCATTATTATCAGTTCAAATATTTAAATCAGAATCTTCAATGTGTTTTTTAAATCAAATCATTGAAAAAATTCTTTTCTCCACAAAATGTCCATTTAGATTAAGCAGTAGGTGTATGACGTTTTTAATAGATATTTTTTTGTTTCATTCTTTTTCAGTGCAAGGATTTATACAAGGATTTAAGGTAAAGTTGTAAAAAATAGAAACAAAAATTTTTTTTTTTTTAAAGTTCTATGAATAGTCTTAAAAATAATGAATAAAATAAATAACTAGGTGTATTATTTATTTATCATTCATTTGAAATTCGTTTTTTAAAAATATTAATTATTAATTTTAGTTTTGTATGATGGAACATTTTTATGATAAAAGTCATTTTACATTGTGTTGTTCACCTGAAAATTTAGAAAAAAATGTTGAAAAATTGAGTGATCAAGATGTAGAAAATATGAGGAGGATACCATCTTTTCAAAGATTTGTCGAAAAAAGCACTAAAGAAGACAGACATTTATTATTGTTAAATAATGAACATTCGAAGGTATTTTTTTTTCTTTAAGGTTTTTACCAGAATCATTTTTTTCTTTTTATTGTTATAGTAATATTTTATATGTTTCAGAAAGTTATTAAAAACATGATAAAGGATGTACAGGAACACATCAGTAATTTTCACGTGGCTTTAAAATGTCTCTATATTTTAACACAAGATTTACCACAATATCCTTTGGGAAGACATGTAAGATTCATTTTTAAAAAAATCAAAAACTTTTAATTGATAAATATATATGTATATTAATAACTTTTTATTTAATAATGAAACTTGTGTTAATCAAAAATTTAAATTTTTTTTTAAATTTTAGTTGAGGGAATATTATTGTCAAGCCATTTCGAAAGATATAAAAGAATGTGTCGAATATAAAGAATGCATAAAAGCATTATCATTTCAAACGAAAAAAGAACTTTGGACCAAAATCTCATTGATAATTGATTTCCTAAAATTAAACTCTCTTATAGATATTTTAACATCGGATAATGTCACAAAATTTGAGGAAATTGTAAAACAATTAGAAAATTTCAAGGATAAATTTAATGAAAACTCGAATGCTGCTGTAAGATAAAACGGTTGACTTACTTTTTGTAATAATATGATGTTCTTTTGATATCAAATTTTTTTTTTTGTGTGTGTTTATTTTTTCAGGAAGATTCATCTGATTTTGAAAGTACAAGAAAATCATTTTTAGATTATGTGGAAGAAAATGTATTACTAAAAATGCTTTCACCTGTAAATTTACTTCCACTTCATGAAATAATTTTGTTTGATGATTTACCTTCGATTAGAAGAAGAATTTCTGGGTCTCCTCGCGGAGCTGTGCATTTAGCATTAAATAATCCTCATTATTATTTGGATGTGAGAAAACAATCATTTCCAATTATTTATTTTCATAAATTTTTTTTTCGTTTGACATTTTTCTTTTTTTCTCAGTGCAAGTGTTGCGTTCTTCCTCAGCCTGAACTTGTATTGCCTACTTTACCTGATTTATCAATCGTTTATAAACTTCATTTAGAATTTGGTAAAATTATCAACTTGTACGATTGGCTACAGGTAAATTGTGTTTAGTTAACAAAAATTTTTTTATACACTTGATCGGAATTCTTTTTAAAGGTAATATATATTAAATTTTCTTTTAGGCTTTTGCTGCATGTATAAAACCAGAGTCATCTGAAACTGAAACTGATGTTGATGATGTCATACAGTATCCTTTTATACATAAAACTGATTTCAAGTTCATGAATGTCAATCGAAAACTATTATTTACCTTTAATAGAATATACTTTATATATTTACCTTGACTAAAATTAATAGAGCTCGTTTTATTAGAGCAGTTTCTGAGCTTCAATTTTTGGGTTTCATAAAACCGAGCAGGTCAAAATCAGATCATGTACATCGTTTAACTTGGGGAAATATATAAATACCTATATACATTATTTCACTCCCGGTGAAATTATTTGTACATATTTATTTATTATTATTATATAAAAATAATTATATTGTGATTTTAAATTAAAATTATCAGTTCCTCATGTGATTCAAACTAATTAAAGTAAGAGAGTAAAACTTATTTTATTACTTTTGGCAAGGTTGGATTTATAATGTTGACACAGCAGGCAATTTGTTTTATCAAAAAAAATTTGAAGGAAGGGTTTTCAAATAAATGGATAGTTATAAACAAAGGCATCTATGTAAAAGATTTTTTTGATAAATATTTATTTTAATTATAACCTTTTTCACTTTTGTATAATAAGATTTGATTAGTAAAAGAAGTAATTACAGTTTCATTCAGCCATTTAAACATATATTACATTTATAAAAGAATCAAAAAAAAAAAACTAACCCATAATTGAATGTACTTGTAAACTCATAAATGTCCAAAGAAATGATCGTGTAAATAATTACTTATGAAAATATCGACTGCAACTATGAATTAATGTTTTTTTTCCAAGTTATTCCACCATTCGAATAAAAAAAATTACTACTTTTATTTAACCATGAATTAAGAAAGAGCTCTAACGATAGCTTCTGCAACTTCTACAGCAATGGCAGCCTCATCTTTTTTATCAGGAGAAGCTGAAGCGAGTTCACTTTGAGCTTTAGATAATGATTCCTTGGCTGCATTTGAATCTATATCTTCTAAATAATGAGCTTCTTCTGCTAGTACTTGTACTGAAGAATCTTCGTTAACACATAACTACAAAGAATTGATCATCATACAAACATGAGAATTTTAATCAAGAATTATCATCAAAATGAAAAAAAAAAAGGACTTCTTACAGTTCCACTCGACACAAATATTTTTTTTGAAGAACCATCTTTAAGAAAAACGGTTACAACTCCAGGAGACAGAACACCCAATATAGGTACGTGCTTAGGTAAAATACCAAAAACTCCATTAAATGTTGGAACATCTATTTGTTTAACATCTTCAGCATCGTAAAATACTTGATTGGCCGCAGCTAAGGTTAATGGCATTTCTTTAGCAGCAGCTTCTGCATATCCTCTTTTAATAGAAACAGGTCTAGTTTTTGCAAACATTTGCAATGCGGGTCTTAATTGCCTAATGATACCCGCCATTTTAAATAAATACTAACTGTAAGTAATAAAAATTAATTTTAAATTAAAAAATAAAATATTCCAATATTACAAAATGTAAAATAATATATATATTATTAGTAATAATTTATTTTTCCAGACCTTAAAAAAAAAAATTTATATAAGTGAAAAAAGCAGAAGAGAACTTTTTCCCCTACAAATCAATAGCAGGGAAATTTGTCGACGCGTGAAAATACATAAGAACGGTTTTAGCGGTTAATAATTTTGGTCGTTTTTTTTTTTCAAACTTAAAATAAAATTTAATAAAATGTTCTTTTCGTGCGTGGAACGTGAAAAAAAAGTGTTAAAAATATAAATTAATGTTAAATGTATCGTTAACCAGTGATAATTTTAATGAAGTTTTATAATATTAGTGTAAAAATAATCGATTTAAATTTGGAATTGTGAATTACTATGTTATAAAGGTGCCATGTTGAAATTCTAACAGGTAAAAACCTGTTCTCAAATGTAGTATTTATTTTATTTTATGTTTAACAGTTTATTATTTCTTACAATGCAAACAAATTCAACTTGAATGGATTCATAAAAAGTATTATATTTTGAATATATCATAACTATCATAACAATACAAATGGCTTACAGTATTAGGTTAGTACCAAATCTAATAAAAATCATTTGACAAAAAAAGGTTATATATATAATTATTATTAACTTTGTAATATTTAAAAATATTATTTAACCTCTTTTTTGTTTGAAAATTTAAAAAGAAAATACAAGCAATGAAAAAAAAAGCATTAAAATAAAATCTGAATAAAAAGCAATAATAATAATAATAATAACAAACCATTTTAGAATCCGCTCTCTCTTATTATTTGTTCTTCATTGTGGGAAGGCTTTCAATTGCTTGCGAAAGCACGATCAGGATTTAGTTACATTATTTTATCACTTTTAAAAAATTAAATTTTTCTTCAGCTTATTTTTTATTTTATTTTTTTTTCATATTTTATTTTATTTTATTTTTAATAAAAATCTCGAAATTAAAAATAAAAAAAAAATTTTTTTAAATAATAATATTTATTAACTAAATTACAAATTTAATTAATTAATAAATAAATAAATTAACGAGAAAGCTTACCACACATTGTAACAAATAAATATTTTTTTTTTTATACTTAATTAATTAAAAAAAAAAAGAGAGAGAGAGAGAGAGAGAGAAAAAGAGAAAGAAAAAAATTTGAATTCTTAAAAGTAGTAATAATAATAATAATAATAATAATAATAAGAAATAATAAAATAATAATAAAAATGAACGTGGAGTGAATGTTTAGATTACCATAATGTTTTAGACATTTCAGGAAATTTCCCCCCCCACCCTCTCTCTTTCTCTTTTTCTCTTAAGTGAAATTATTAGAAAATTACACCAAAAACAAATATTAAAATCGTTAAGCGAAAATTAAAACAAGAAAATAAAAAATTTAACAAAAAAAAAAATATGTAAAAATTTCATTTCATTAGGTTTTTCTCCCCCCCCTCCTCCCTCCCAACACATTTTTAGAAAAAAAACTTTTTTTTAATTAATTCAAACTTTAATTATTCAAATGATGACAACGTTATTATTATTATTATTATTAGTTTTGAATTTTTAATTTAAATTTTAATAATTATTTTATAGGAATTATTACTACAATGTTATCATTATTATTATCATTTTCTCATTTACTCATATGTATGTTTTCCCCCCGCCCCAAGGTTATTCATCATTTTTCAATTCATGTTTCATCTTGTTTGATTTTTTTTTTTTTTTTGGGAAAATGATCGATTTGTAAAATTTTTTCAAGAAATTTAACTTGACCCTTATGTAATGAGTTTTTTTGCTAAAATTTTTTTCGGAAATGCTTTTCCGGAAGTTGATCTAGTTGACTTTAACGTTCTGTTTCTCTTTACGATGTTTTAAATGGCTATCAGTACTACATCTCACACTCTCGCACATCCAGACTATTTCGATATCTAAATTCCTAAAGGTTTAACCTTTTCCCGAGTTTTCCCGGAGATGTTTCGATTACTTTACGCAATTTTTTCCGGTTTACTCCTTACGTAATAATGTTAATAAGCACAGTTTTGCTCGTGTGTGCATGCCTTATAAAACTGTATAAAGCTTTTGAATTTTTTGCCTAATCGAGCTTGGAATGTGATTATTAATCGTAAATTTTATGATCAGGCAAGTTTCACTTAGTCTTCAGATTTAAATTTTTTTTGCCCAAAATTACCGAGAAAAGGATATCGTTTCGATTACTTCGATTATAATCATTATTATTATTATTGTTGTGTTTATTTTCTAAGACTCATAAACAGGAAGTAACAATAATTTTTAATTTTTTTTTTCAACGTTTATCATAAGTGTAATAATTACTTTGTGGAAATTTTGTTTTATTATTATTATTATTTTCATTTTTGAACGCGACAAGGTTTTAAATACTTGTCGGAATTTTTAAGGATTTATTTCAGGTTTCAACACGATTCCTTAGGAACTAATGCTCGAATATCCTTGGTGATTTTCTTCGAATTTTCTTTTATTGAATGTGAGGCATGGCCCTCGATGCTCCCACGTGACCGGAATAGTTTATGTCTTTACTCCCCACATCCTGGCTATTTATATTTCTAAATCTCTGAACTTCAGCCTTTTGTTTGCTTCTTTGGCCTTGGTGTTTTTTCCGCCGGTACGGATACTTCAATTAGCTTACACCATTTTTCCGCATTTTGTCTCGAGATCGTTTCCGGTTTGTTGGTTGCCAGAGTTCAGTCAGTGTGAATTTGTTGATCTGTGCAGAACTGTGCAAGGACCCACTGTCGTAATCAGGTTTGGAATTTGGTTGTACCATTTTTTCGCTAGTCCATTCATTCCACATTCACAACAAACATCATTATTATTATTATTATGTTTTATTACTCGACGAGTAAATAATATTGAAGAATTAATTAAATCAATATCAAAGCATTTTATTTTTTAATTCAACCGAAACAAAAGATTTAGTTTAAAAAAAAAAATAATAATGATAATAATGATAATTTCAGACTCAGATGGTTTTACACCACGTTGAATTTAACAACAAAAGATTTAAATTTAATCACGGGGAGGGTGGTTCGGATGAGACGCGGGGGCTAGGGGGAGGAAAGGGGAGGAAGTACGACGAAGTTTAGAAAATTGAGGGAGTAAAAAAATAAAAAATAAAAAAAATGAAAAGACACAAAAGTTTTTCATTTTGTTTTGTTGTCGAAATGTAGAAAAAAAAACATGACAATTTTTTTATTTATTTTTTAATATTAAAAATTATTATTATTGTTATTACTATTATTATTATTATTATTAATATTTGAAAAATTTCGACATGCGTTTTTTTTTTTTTTTTAAATGTAAACAACATACGAACATGAAAAT